CAGAAGACAGCATTCAGGATGCGGTATGGGCATTACGAGTTCGTGGTGATGCCTTTCGGGCTCACCAATGCCCCGGCAGTGTTCATGGACCTCATGAACAGGGTATGCAGGCCGATGCTGGATCGGTCTGTGATTGTATTTATCGACGACATCCTAGTTATTCGCGAACTAGAGAGCAGCATGAGGACATTTGAGGGAGGTCCTTGAGGTACTGAGGTCGGAGAAGCTATATGCAAAATTCTCCAAATGTGACTTCTGGTTGCGGGAGGTCCAATTTCTTGGACATGTTGTTAATCAGGCAGGGATATTGGTCGATCCGGCCAAGGTGGAAGCAGTGATGAGTTGGGAGGCACCGAAGTCACCTTCCGAGATCAGGAGTTTCCTTGGGTTGGCGGGGTACTATCGGAGATTTATTAGGGACTTCTCCAAGATCGCGGTACCGCTCACCAGATTGACCCGGAAGGGTGTTACATTCTCATGGGGACCCGAGCAGCAGACTTCCTTCGAGACACTTCGTCAGAGACTGTGCGAAGCCCCGGTATTAGCTCTCCCGGAAGGGATGGAGGATTTTGTCGTATATTGCGACGCATCGATTTCGGGACTGGGTGCGGTGTTGATGCAGAGAGGTCATGTGATAGCTTATGCGTCGAGGCAGCTGAAGCCTCATGAGGCGAGATATCCCACACATGATTTAGAGTTGGGGGCAGTGGTGTTCGCTCTCAAGATATGGCGTCACTACCTGTACGGGGTTCGTTGTACTATATACACGGACCATAAGAGTTTGAAGTATTTGATGGATCAACCCAACCTAAATATGCGTCAGAGGAGATGGTTGGACGTGGTTAAGGATTATGACTGTGAGATCCTATACCACCCAGGCAAGGCTAATGTGGTAGCCGATGCATTGAGTCGTAGAGCGGAGAGCACTCCATTGCGAGACGTATGTTTGAGACTGACAGTGATGACCCCGATATTGGATGCTATTCGTGGGGCGCAGGCCGAGGCTGTGAGATCCGAGATGCAGAAGAAAGAGAGAGTCGTTGGGTTAATTTCAGAGTTCGTTAAGGATGGACGAGGACTTCTGACGTTTCAGGGTCGGATTTGGGTACCATTCGTGGGCGGTACGCGTGCTACTTTGATGGAGGAGGCTCATAGATCGAAATTCTCGATCCATCCCGGTGCTACGAAGATGTATTTGGACTTGAGAAGGAATATTGGTGGCCTTGCATGAAGAGAGACGTCGCTTGGTTCGTTGAGAGGTGTTTGACCTGCCGTAGGGTTAAGGCCGAGCACCAGAGACCGCATGGTAAGTTGCAGCCCTTGGAGATTCCTGAGTGGAAGTGGGAACAGATTACGATGGATTTCATCACCAAATTGCCGAGAACTGCCAGAGGAGTCGATGCAATTTGGGTGATTGTGGATAGATTGACGAAGAGTGCACACTTCCTTGCCATTAGCGAGAGTTCATCAGCGGAGAAGTTGGCGGAGTTATACGTGAGAGAGGTAGTATCTCGGCATGGAGTGCCGATCTCGATTGTTTCAGACCGTGATGTACGTTTCACTTCCAGGTTCTGGAAGAAATTTCATGAGGAGCTGGGTACTAAACTGCATTTTAGTACCGCATACCATCCCCAGACCGACGGGCAGAGCGAGCGGACGATTCAGACATTGGAGGACATGCTTCGAGCGTGTGTGTTAGACTTCGGGGGTAGCTGGGATGCGTATTTACCCTTGGCAGAGTTTTCCTACAACAACAGCCATCATTCGAGCATTGGTATGCCACCTTTTGAGTTGTTGTATGGTAGGAGGTGTCGGACCCCATTTGCTGGGAGAGGTGGGTCAGAGAGTGATGGGCAGTACAGAGATCGTACTCCAGACGACAGAGCAGATTCAGCAGGTTAGGCAGAGATTATTGACCGCCCAAAGCCGACAGAAGAGTTATGCGGACAGACGCCGGTCCGAGCTGGAATTTCAGGTTGGCGACTTCGTTCTTCTGAAGGTTTCTCCTTGGAAGGGAGTGATCCGGTTCAGAAAGAGGGGCAAGTTGGGGCCCCGGTTCATAGGTCCATTTCGTGTAATTGCAAGGGTAGGTCGGGTAGCTTATCGGTTGGAGTTGCCAGCAGAGTTGGGACAGATTCACAATACCTTTCACGTATCACAGTTGAGGAAGTGTATAGCCGATGAATCGGCGGTGGTTCCGTTAGAGGATATTCAGGTGGATGCGAGCCTGAATTACGCCGAGAGACCAGTAGCTATCAGGGATCGGAAGATCAAGGTTCTGCGGAACAAGGAGGTACCTCTGGTGTTGGTTCAGTGGCAACACCGGAAGGGATCGGAGATGACTTGGGAGCCGGAGCGTGAAATGCGGGAGCAACATCCGGAGTTATTCGCAGAGTGAGACTTCGAGGGCGAAGTCTAGTTCTAGTGGGGGAGAGTTGTAACAGCCCGGAATTTCAGGTATTGTTTAAAATATTTTTGGGGACATTTTAGGAAGGGACTCGGCGAGTTGGTGCCTGACTCGCCGAGTAGGACCACAGACTTGGTCGCAGATTCGCGACTGGACTCGACGAGTCCATTAGGGACTCGGCGAGTCGACGCTGTTCAGCAGAAACCCTAGCCGTTTGATTCGGATCGTATATAACGTCTTTAGGGCCGTCATTGCTCGTCTTTTGGCCGATTGAGGATAACCTAAACGTCTGTGGGCATCTGGAGCAGGAGTGAAGGCTAGTGGAAACTTGAAGGCTTTGTTAGGCAAGAAGAGGCAAGGTTGTGGTCAAAGGAGGATCAAGGGATTGAGCTCTGAAGGTTGGGGACACAGAGAACACGTTTTCCAGGTAATACTCGGACCATTTCTGTTGTTTTGGTGTTGTACACGAATCTAGGGTTTATGAGACCCATTTGGGGATTAGATAGATTATTGTGTGTTACCCAGTCGTTTATACCCCAGTAATAGGATACTTAGACGTCCAGAAAGTCCCATGGGTGCATGTCTCGGGACCATGCGTATTTCAGGGGCAGATGATCGACTGCATGGCATGGACTCGCCGAGTCCAATGATCAGACTCGGCGAGTAGCTTGAAGATTTACTGGGACTCGCCGAGTTGTTCTTCAGACTCGGCGAGTAGTTGAGGATTCATTGGAACTCGTCGAGTCGTTTCGGACTCGGCGAGTGGAGTCGGGGTGGCCCCCGATTCTTCCACGAGGACCTCGTCGAGTCAAGAGGGATACTCGACGAGTAGAAAGGAGAACAACAGGGAAATTGGGGAGGACGTCTAGACTCGCCGAGTCGCCTTTGCACTCGACGAGTCCGGTCAAGTTGACCGTTGACCAGAGTTGACCTGCATGTAATTCTTAGGGTCAGTTGTCTTGAATGATAAGAGTATTAATAAGGGTATATGGTATTATAGGGAGTCTGCAGATCGGCGGATCGAGCGCGAGTAGTTTCAAGAGTTGATAGTTACATTACCACGAGGTGAGTCTTCTCACTATACTGTACCCGGAAGGGTTTGACTGTGTGACCGGAAGGTCGGATATGTTATGTCTTTTATATGTGCTATAATTGAAAGGAATAGTTGCTATGCATGCTATGTATATTTCTATGGGCCGGAAGGCAATGTATTATGTGACAGGAAGGTCAGGTATGATTTATGATGTATGTGATATATGTGTTAGAGTAAATGCATTATGTGTTATATATGTTTATGGGCCGGAAGGCAATCATGTTATGGGCCGGAAGGCAATTATCTTATGGGCCGGAAGGCAATTATCTTATGGGCCGGAAGGCAATTATCTTATGGGCCGGGAGGCAATTATTTTATGGGCCGGAAGGCGATTATCATATGGGCCAGAAGGCATTGTACTGTGGACCGGAAGGTCCGGGCCTGGAAAGGCGTATATGTGTAAGTGGTATACTGGGGAACTCACTAAGCATTTATGCTTACAAGTTGTTATGTATGTGTTTCAGGTACTAGCGAGGACCGTGGGAAGGCGCCGACATGATGTATACACACTGCTGCTATTTGAGATCTTGGGGATTTTACATATGTATTTGTTTTGAAACATGAAATAAATATTATTGGTTGAATGAACTCACTTTATTTAAAATGAAAAAAATTTATCTGAAAATTTGCGTTGTTACACATGTCCTAATTATAAGGTAAAATTAAGGGGTTTTGTTTTCCTATTTTGTTATCTTTCAAAGGTTATTAAAAGAAGATTTTGTTGGCAGGGTACCAAAAGGGGTGTAAGTAATTCATGTGGCTTGACACAGAGGAGTTAGAGTTTTATGCTAATGAAAGGGAACCCTATAACGAAATTGTTACCAATGGTGTACTGCAGGTGATCATGTTGTTAAAGTTTGTTTTGGTAATGTTGGTAATTATTGGAATAATTCTTATAATTGGAATTGTATTTTAATGTATTCCCCTAGGTTAAGACAATTGTAATTTTTTGTATTTTGGTAGGGTTAAGGCATTGCAGTAAAAGTAGTTGTTGTAAGGGTGTTGTAGGTTTGTTATTTTGATTTGATGTAAGAACTAGTTTGTTAATTGTTCATTTCAGATTGTGATGTTTATGTAAAATTATCTTAATGGTAACCTAATTCTATCTATGACCCATGTGATTTGGTATTGCATTATAGTGATTCACCACAATGATAATGTAGTTATGGTAATGTACTAAAATTTATGTAAGCAAGTAAATGACATTAACTGGAATGACAATTAACTTATACCTTATGGTATGTAAATTGACAAGTAAATGCAATGTATGTTAAATACTTGCATTCTTAATAACATAAAATGAGGTATTATAAATAGAACCAAACATCTAATTACCTAACAATCTTACAAATGGCCATTAACTACCAATGTTAAAAAAAGGCCGAACTAGATACTAGATATTGATATACAATTGGATGTTTGTTACCAAAAGCTAATGCAATGTTAACAAAAATGGAAAGAAAAGTACATAGTGCCCATGATACCCCCTCTTAAACAATCCTACTCCAAATTAACAGGTTTCTCAATACTAGAACCCCCTCCATCCTTATCATAAACTACTTTCTTCAGCTTGATCTTCACATTTCTCTCAGAAATCTTCCTTTTCCTAGGCCTCCCAACAACTTGTGTATCTTCAATGAAGACATTCTCCCCATCAATTTCCTCATCATCTTCACTAACCTAAGCATTAACATCTAAATCTTGTACAACAACTTCTTCTTGCACTGCTTCCAAGTGATCTTCAATCTTATTAACGTCTACACCCTGTAACAAGTGATGCAGTTAATTACCTTTTTTAATCATATATTAATAATAATAAATGTAAAGTAAAGGTTGGCATACCATTTCCAAGTTATCTTCAATCTCATTAGCATCCCCTTCTAAGTCGGCTTCCAAGTGATCTTCAATCTTATTAACATCTATGTCTCACATCATATCTTGCATTTATGAACTAAAACATAAATGAGGCATTTATAATAAATTGAAAATAGATTTTGGCATACCATTTGAACTTTTGAAACTGGTTCAGACATCACATTTACCTTTTCCAAATCATGTTCAATATCATGAGGTTCATAACCACATTCCTGCAACATTAATACATCATTATTGTAAGCAATGATTGGAGGTTAGACTGCATTTTTTAGGGGGGGGGGGGGGGGGCTCATAAAACACTTCATCTTGGGTTTCCTGATAACGATCATCCTATTATACAATTTCCTAAATAGCAACATTTGTAGTTTCCTAAATACCTACACTTTCTTGAGCATCAACATTTTAACTTGCTTGAACATCATCTTCAATACATGCATTAACCTCAGTAGTTTCAACATCTATAGTTGCTTGAATAATAGCTTCAACCTATGTACTTGATTCATAAGCTTGGTCATATGCAATTTCTTGAACATCTCCAGCCTGTATACATGTTTCAAAAGCTTGGTCCTATGTCATTGCTTGAACATCTTCAGCATGTGTACCTGCTTCAAAAGTTTGGTCATGTGTAGTTGCTTGAACATCTTCAGCATGTGTGCCGGCTTCAACAGTTGTTTGATTTGAGGATCCTTCTCCATCATTGTTTATCTTCTCTTCCTTTTCACTACAATCTTAACTTTACATTATTTTGAAGTTCCCTCTCCATCTTTGTTTGGTATTCCAATTCCCTCTCCATCCCTATTTTGTATTCCATTTGCATCCTTCCTTAGCCTTCTTGTTTTTAGGTGGCACAAAGTCCCTCATTACTTGCTCATTCTTACATGATTTCAAGTTATGTCCCAATTGTAAACATCTGCTACACCTAACATTCCTACAAACTCTAGCTCTTAAAGTTGGGAACTTGGAATCATTGACCTCAGTCACATGCCTTCTTTTCTTGGTTTTTGGTCTACCATGCATTCTCATTGTCAATTGAGGAAATGGTTTTATTTAGTCAGTAGATGCCCATATGTTTCTTCCATTCACCGGTGATATATTTGTGGTATATGTAGCCACAAATTTCTCATTTTGGAACCAAATGCTCATAAAATCAGTTGGATTCATGTGAGTATAGTTTATTGCTGCTTGACCATGCACACATAATTCTAAATATCTCCTATAGTTTACCTATGCAATAGTGTTGTTCTACATCCACTTTGTAAGCTGCATACCTATATACCTTGTCTCAAATATAGACCCTCTAGTAGCTATCACTTTCCAGTTCCTATTGATAAAAATAAAAATAACAATTTAATGTTAAGTACAAAGCACAACTTAATGGTAAGTAGTAACAACTTAATGGTAAGTATTTACCTAATCTCTTTTCCAACCTCCTTCATTTTCTCTATGATAACTAGATAAGATTCAGTTGTCCGTGTAGAAGCTATATCAGCCAAATAGTAAAACCTAGCCATGAGATAGATTTTTATTTCCTCTAACATTGTTAGAAGTGGGTTTTTCTTAATATATATGATCATGGAGTTGAAGGACTCAGAAGTTGCATTTTCCACTGCCTCACATGCATACCCTTATGCAAAAATGCCCTACACCATTATTATGGATTGTTAAACATCAACCAAACATATCCATTTGGGGTGATTTTCTTAATTTCTTCCATGTTAGCTACAAAATCTCCTTCATGCGAACTACTTACAGCAGCCCAGAACAAGTTCTTCAACTCTAAACCTGTATACCTCTTCCTGAAGTTAGCATAAATGTGTCGTGCACACTACCTATGTTCAACATGTGGAAGGATAACTTTCACAGATTCTAGAAGCCCCTAAAACAAGTAAATAAAACATTAATATTGGTTGGACAATATAAATGAATACGTGAAAATTTTGTAAAGTATTTATGTTTACCTTATATTGATCTGAAATGACAACTAGACCCCTTCCATTGTAACATCTCGCTTTTCTAGTTATTCCATTTTGACCCTTGGTTTGTGTATTGTTTGCAAATTTAGTCCTGAGTGGCATTTTGTAATTTTGAGGCATACATGCGTATGTTGGGCGTACGTAGCCATGGTGCAAACCCTAATTTTTAGGGTTTGGACCCTATTTAAACATCCTTATAGCCCCAAAACCCTTTCCTTCATCAGCCTCCACCCCTCATATCGACCTTTCCAAAACTTAATCCACCTTCGAGCATATTTGAGCCTTGAGTGTGTATTTTGGTGATCTTGAAGGAGGAAAAAGAAAGATGAGAGCATTAGAAAAGAATGAAGCACTTTGGATCCATGATCACATCACCATTTTGCATCATTTTGAGGTAAAAAGCTTTGATCTTGATGAAGCTTTACTTAGATATTGTCTAGCCATGATTTGTGCTCATTTTGTTCCTATAAGCTTGATGTATTTTAGTATGGGTTACTCTAACTCATTTAGGTTGTCCTTTCTGATGTCTTGAAGTGTTTAGAATCATAAAAATGCAATCTTGGTCCCTAGTTTTCCTCCATGTATGGTCTAAGATGTATTAACGAGTTAGGAAGTTAGGGTTTTTGATGTTGAGGACTTAATAGCCATGCAAGACCATAAAGTTGGAAACTTTATGGTTAAGGACATCATTTAAGGACTAGATCTGAATTTTGGATGAAAGAGCTTAAAGGATTAAGCTCTTAATGGATTGGGAGGATGGCAACCGCGTACGCTGGGCATACCAAAGGGTACACTACATGTATGTGGTCAGCCCCTCGACTTCTGGTCAATACGTAGTACACCCCGCATACATGTTAATTACGCCAAGCGTACTCAACTGAGTTGACCCGGTCGACTCGATTTACTTTTGACTTTGACCAAGATTTTGACCAAGTTTGACCTAGGGGTATTTTGAGTTGTAGTCTGAGTTTTGGTTACTATTATTTGTAAATGTGATCCTTAGAGTTGGTTTTCGGAGCAACGTGTTGTTTCATTTTTTCATCCGATTGTGAGATGAGTCTCCTCACTGTATCTATGGGTTAAAGGCACCAATGTTGTTCAATTATTCGGTTATGTATAATGCTATCTGTTATGTGATATGTTTGTTCGTGTGACCGGGTTGAAATAAACCCCAGGGCAGGGCCCGCTGTTGTATGTCGGGTTGAAATATACCCCAAGGCGGGGCCTACATTCATTTATTGGGTTGAAATATACCCCAAGGCTAGGCCCATTTGTATGTTTGGTATGCACTAATTTAGGGGAACTCATTAAGCTTTGTGCTTATAGTTTATGTTTATGATTTTAGGTACTTCCAGTACTAAAGGGAAGAGCCCGACATGTTGGCATAGTATTCTCCCCTCATTATTTCCGCACTTTTAGATATTATTACTCGGATGATTTTGATATTGTATATTGTGAATGTTTTGGAACAACTTGATGTTTGAACTATTGATTTTAAAATGAAAATTTTTATCACTGTTTTGGGATATTACATCCACCCTAAACTCCCAAGTCATCAACCAAATGCTGTAAAAACCAAGTTCAATTTTATTCTGTATGTTTACTACATCCCATACAATTGGATCGATGTGATTGTCAACATCTCTTCCAATAGTAGTCAAAATCACCCCTTTGATTTATCCCTTAAGGAAACATCCATCTAATCTAATCACAAGTCTGCACCCTTTATTCCATCTATCTTTCAATGCCTTAAAACATACATAAAAACATTGAAAATAGTTTTTTCCATCTGGATTTACTATCAGTCCTACTTTGCATTTGCTTCTAGGGTTAGATCTAAGGATTTCATTTGAATAATCCCATACCTTAGCATAGTATTCCTCTAGTTTACCTTCTATCATTTTTCTTGCCCTTACCATAGCTCTATGACATTGCCCATTTGACACTTTAACAAAGTATTTTGTAAGGACATCCTCCATCATCTCAGGCAATGTCATTTTGAGATTCCTAATTATGTCCTTAATGTAGTGTTTTGATAACCAATTACAATTAACCAAATTATAATTCCTTGAACAAATATGTGTTTCAATCATCGATTTTATCTAAAAATTACGTTCATTATACTTCCATGAAGCATGAATCCTAAAATACATGGGTTTTTTTGCAATTTTTCCCCACGCCGAACAATTACCCTGCTTTTATCACTCTTCATGAACCAAAGTTGGTATCCATTAGCTACATCGTAGTTAGTTAGTGCAAACATTAACTAAGCAGGAGACTCGTATAACTCACCAACTGTAGGCTTCATTTTGTTCCACTTGATGGTAGGATCTTGCACCCTAAACTCGACACCAACTTCCAGGTCATTTTCATCTTCAAGGTGTTCATGTTCATGCTCTACCTGGTGGATATCTTCAACATCGACTTCATCGTCCCCTTCAAATTGATTATTCTTTAACATTTTATCATCACATAAAATGTTAAGAAAAGGGTTGTCACACAAATTAGATGTAGGATTGAAGTTATCTGGCTCAACATCCAACAATCCTAAGTCAAGAAGAACATCATCGGAGTCTTCATCACGTAAGTATCTGACATTTGTCTTCTTTGTCATCTTTGATTCTCTACTCTTCCTTCTCTGTGATGATTCTGCCATCAAACTCGCCTTCACTTCTAGAAAGGTGTTTCAAACCCTTGAAAAAATTCGAAAACTCTCTTCAAAAATCCTGTTTTGACAACGACCGTATCTGGATAACCCTGGTTATTCAGTCGTTCTGATAAAGGCGGTGGCTACTATTCCCAAGAATTAATACTCGAGTGAAAAGAGGCAACCATCAAGTACTTGCTTACCGGTTGGTAATCGGGTACGGGTTAATCAATGGAACGTTATTTCTTTAACGGTGTTAAATAAGTAACAAAAAAACATTGGGGTTAAATCGAAACAAGGGTGTATAAATAATAGCTTTTAAGGTATTAACCTGACTAAAAATATCAAAACTTGTATAATTTAGGGACCTTTTCAAGAAATTGTTTGTAAAGGATTTAAAACCCCAAATCTACATCCATCGTTCACGAACCTCTCTCGTTGTCAGGCTCCTACTCCAAACATCATTATCTCATCGAACTCCGCCTTTAGATGTCAACACCATCCCTTTGGTTACTATCCTCCCTTCTAGAATTTGTATGCATCGTCCCCATATGTCTCAAATTTGGTTTTTAATTCGTCATCGGCGATTAAATCTTCCACGACCAAATCTTCTTCATTGACGCTTTTCTCCATGACCACGTCTTTAGCGGAAAAGATCCCTTCTATCTCTTTCTTTTCCTCTCCCCTCTCTCTATTACAAATCTGTCTACTTTAGTGTATTCAGATAAAATGACTATTACCTATCTCCCTACAAATCCGACTTCACTCTTACACCACAAATCCACCCCCACCTCATCTCCTCTACAACCTAACCACCAATACCTCTGCCCCTTATCCCTCACGACCCCCTCCTCAACACCTGTTGATCCCCATGACCCTCATCTTAGACTCCATGAAGGATGGCAATGTTGTTTCAGAAGAGGTTAGTTTTCTAACCTCAAATCGAAAACCTGGTGTTGAATTTTTATGATCCTTCTTTGCATATCAATATTTGTATAAGTTTAATGAACAAACCTTGTATATAACCCAATTAACAACATATATTATTGTTTTTTGCCTTCGATGATGAACGTTTTCGCCAAATTCTCAGATCTTACGATTTTTCTCATGTGGTTGGCATAAGATGGGCACAATCAATCATTTGATTATTGTGTTGTATTTTTTTTTGGTTTTTTGTTTGCATATATATATATATATATATATATATATATATATATATATATATATATATATATATATATATATATATATATATATATATTTGCGGTAAAATTGCAACCTTAAATATCTATTATGGTAAATGATTTTTGGTTTTCAGGGGATTTTGGTATTTGATAGATTTTGGTATTTGATGGTGGAATATGGCGGTATAGTTTTTCAATTTCTCTTAGTTTTGGAGTTACAAGTAGTGGTAAATGGTGGATGGTGGTTATTGGTTGTGATTTTAAAATAAAACTAAAGAAATTAAGAAAATAAGAAAAAGATAAATAAAAGGGTAATTTCGCCATTTAAAAAAATTGAACGGAGCATGGTAACTGTATTAGGGACCATCGATGTAATAATTACAAACCACAGGTACCAATCTTGATCACTTTTCCAAAGTTGGACTAATAATACGAATTTGAGAAAACCACGGGGAGCAAATCTATAATTTACTCTATAAAACCTATATGTAATAGTTCAGGGACCATTTCAGTAATTCCGCTTTACACATACGCATCTATGACTTGTACTGTACAAGCTAACCGTTATTTTGTCCGGGATATGAAAGGCGAGTGGATGATGAGTGTGTGTACTCGCTTTCTACAGCTTACACGCGTCCGACAGCGAGTAAAATTACGAGACTACCCTTCTGAAGTCTGATTTTAATGACGCGTGGATTTATAGTTTATATTCGAGCGAGTGTGGTAAATTAGGGGTGTTTGTTTGTATCTGAGCTGTACAAATGGGATCAAACGCCTCAAAAAGCGCACTTTGTCCAAGTTAATCTGTACATGTACCTTACGCAATTGCGTTGGTACTGTCAACTTCTGACCCATTTGCAAGTATTTTATCGAATTAAAGTTGAAAGATACAAATATGACATATTATATATATATATATATATATATATATATATATATATATATATATATATATATATATATATATATATATATATATATATATATATATATATATATATATATATATATAATTTACAAATAATGTTTAAATGTTTATATTAACTAGGACAATGTCGATTACAAATTGTTATATATATATATATATATATATATATATATATATATATATATATATATATATATATATAATTTACAAATAATGTTTAAATGTTTATATTAACTAGGACAATGTCGATTACAAATTGTTATATAAATATTTGTGTCTAACACGAGTAACTTTTCACTTTTACTTTTAAATATTGTGAAGTATGTAAGTGTCGTGTTATTCTATACGGAGTGTATAGCATTTTCACGTGTAAGGTGACACGTAAGAAGTTAGCCAACCCAGCCAATGCATCCTAAGTGTAAGCTTCGTGACTGCATGCTAGGGTTCAATACATTAGAGAGAGAAAAAAAATGTTCACATGACCAAAAGGATATCTACTCATGTATAAGGTAAATGTTAGGGCCTATTTTTTTTTTTTTTTTTTTTTTTTTTTTTTTTTTTTTTTTAATACAACTAGTATATATATAAAAAAATAAAGAATTATTTTATTTTTATCAAAAAAAACCCTACAATTTCATATTTTTCAATTTTAATTACATAAAAATTACATGATTTTTTGTTCTAAATTCTCCACTACATGTGACCTTTTGGCAATTTTCAATAAAAAACTAAAAAAAAACTACCCCATTCTCTCTATAAATATCATTTCTATCATTTAAATCATACACCACAAAACACATATGTATCTCTGACAAAATTATTCATTCACCAGACATCCAAAATGATAAACAATTCGACATCTTCATCCGATGACGATGATATGTATTTCCACTCATTGATTGAAGCAGTTGCATTGATGGGTCAAGAATGTGAAAGCTCAAACACCATCAAGAGGACCAAAAATTTAATCAACATAAATGGTGAGGCTACACACACACACATTTCTGGTACGTGATTACTTTGTCGATGATTGCATATATAACAATGCTCAATTCAAACGTTGTTTTTGTATCAATAAATATCTATTTATGCGTGTAATGAATGATTTAGAAGTTAATTACGAATACTCTTAATGGAGATACAGGGAAGAGGTAAACTAGGTCTTAGTCCTGTATAAAAGTGTATTGTGACAATTAGAATTTTGGCATATGGCAAAACTGCCGATGCACAAGATGATTATTTGATGATGTCCGAAAGAACCGCCCGAGAATGTATATAAAACTTTTGTGAGTGTGTTATAGAACTATACAGTGAAATATATTAGCGGAAGCCTACAAGAAGTAACATTAAACAATTATACCTTGCACATTAAAGTACACATAGTTTCCCATAAATATTTGGTAGCATTGATTGAACACATTTGGAATGAGAAAATTGTATGAATGCATGACGAGGTCAATTCACAAGGGGTGATCATGGAGTGCTGACTATAATGCTAAAAGCAATAGTGTCAAACGATCTATGTGTAACACTTGAATTAGGTATGTTCATATTTAACTCTCCTTATTTAAAGCATTGCATTTTGGTCCTTGTCGCTAGTACGTAGGGTGTACCAAAGAGTATGCTTGGCGTACTAGCTGAGATATGAATGCGGACATCGATCACGTAAGTTGGGCGTACGTGGGCTACGATAAGCGTACGCTGGCCTAGGGTAACCCTAAGTTTTAGGGTTTGTGCCATATTTAAGCTTCATTAACTCACCTCCTGGACATTTTAGACCAACATCCACCCTTTGAAAACCCTAATTCGTCCCTTTGCTTAGTGTGGTGCTCTTGTGCTCTTGTTTTGAACTTTGGTGGGTTTTGTGAATTTTAAAGTGGTAGAAGAAGAAGTTTGAAGACTTATTTCTTGGATGAGACCTTAGAGATCTAGATTTAGCTCCATCATTTGGTGACTTTTGAGATATAAAGTCCATACCTTGACTAATCTTTGCTTTGATTTACTCTTTAGCTTGTTTATGGTTATTTTGGTCCCTTTTGGTTGATCTTGATGAACTAAGGTCGTTTTAGAAGATAACCGTTGTAGATCTGGAAGTTTTAAGGGTCCCTTAAACATAAAAATGCATTATTTATGGTATTTATGGAATCATGCATGTGTTAATTCATTTGTTAAGCTCTAAGAGCCTCATTAAGCCATGCATGTACGTAAATTTTCCAACTTTACGTGATAAACAACCTTAAGGAAAAGTCTTAATTGATTAAGAGCTGAATAATGGAAGTTAGCCAAGCTAGGGAGTATGTTGGGCGTACAAGTAGGTACGTTGCGCGTACATGCCCAAAGCGAATATGCTAAGTGTACGAGCTAAGTACGCCCCGTGTACTCAGCAGATGGGTTCTAACTTTTGGGCTCTTTGTTTTGGGCCATGTTTGGACTTAGGTGTTTAGGGCCTTGTTGGGCCATCAGGTTTTGGTTGGACTATTGTTTTTATTTTGGTTTCTCTTGGTTGAAGGTCCACAAAGGGACTTAAGCCAAATTTGGAAAATTAGGCCATATTTGGGCTTTAGGTTATTATTTTGAAATTTGGTCCTTTTAGACATTTGGATTAGGCCTTGGCCTTGGGCCAATTAGGGACAGGGTAAAAATGTCTTTTACCCTAGTTTGGACTCTTAGTGTGAGCTAGGGTCCAATTATTAGTTGGATGTTATTTTGTGATTATAGTGCGGGGATTTTCACGGACCAACAATCAGAGATTTATCTGAGAGATTTAACAGTTTTAGGTGAGTTTCCTCACTATGTTTAATGGGTCGAAGGCAACAATGTCGGATCATGATTATTATGATAGGATGCTAAATGTCTACGTGACTCTTGCATGTGTTATGTGCTGGTATGTATACCGA